TGTAATCTAATCATGCAACATGCTAGTAATTTGACCAAGGGAATGCATTCGAAATGCAAATGATTTCAAGCATGCAACACATGCAACCAAAGCATGTAAACATGAGATAATGTAATAGCATTTGAATGGCATACAAGGGATGGACTTACACTGATTGGACGGCCCTAAGTTAGGTCCAAAACAGTGGCCAAAGCTTAAGAAGATGGGACCAAACACACATACACACATGCACACGTTAAGGCCTAAACACTTAAGCATCAAAGGGCATCTTTTAAGCACACTTAAAAGGGAATAATCATGGATATGGGGCATGCATTAAGCTCTGAAAATCATGCAAGAACATGGTGCCAAACCAAGCAAACAAGATAGGCTAAACATGCAACAAATGGCCCAAGCATTCAAGGCAAGCTAATGAAGTATTGAACTAAACTTGATATGACCACACATGGTAAGACTTAAATGACCAAAAACAGAGTTTTAGCACATAAAACAAAGCCCAAAAGACCACTTAGATGGCATCTAAATGGCTTGAATTGAAAAGCATGCACAATGACCAAAACATGGAGCATACAACATAAGCTTTCAAAGCATTAAAGAGGTGTCCAAGGAAAGCATACAAGCATGTCAAAGGGACTGAAATGATGGTACAAATGGTGCCAAACCACTGAAATAAAGCAAGTAATGCATGCTACACACTCAAACACTTAAGGCCAACAAACCAAAAATGCAAAGGGGGTATACTAAACATGTCATGGCCGACCAAAATGACTAAGGACAGACCTCTAACATGGCAAAATAAGCACAAAAGCTTCACAAAGCTAGACCTAAAACATGCTTGAACAATGGTTTACAACCTAAGGCATGTTAAGGCCTAAACATGGCATTACAAGGTAGGTATGCTAAGCATGCATGGTGTACCAAAACCAACATACAACAATGCTAGTTCATGGCAAAATAAGCATAAATAACAGCCAAGGCATGGTCAACATGAGGCTTAGCTAGGTGCTCATTAAAGAGGCAAAAATGGCCCTTTTCAAGGGCAACAAGGAGAGGGGGTGACCCTCTCCTTCTTGGGACTTCAAAGCACCATCCTTACCACTGAAATCCCTCAAGATTTCAGTGGTGAGGAGGCCCAAACACTAAAGTCCCGGAGCTCACTCAAAATGGCACAAAATGGAGCCCCTCAAGGCTTAAGAGGGGTCAAACACCTCCAAATCACAAAACACTCTAAACAAACTATTTAGAGGGCCCAAAAATAGAACTTTTTTATATTATACACTAAGCTCAAAAATAGTTCTAAGATAGGCAAAAATAGTATGCAAAAATGGAGAATAAAGGGACAAACTTCTTACCCTTGAAGACCCTCTTCACAAATGAAGTTCCAGCAGCTTCTTTGAGCTCAAAACAGCTCCCAAGCTTCAAGAACAAACCTCTGGCCCTTCAAGAACCAAGAAAAGGTGTAACACTATGTGTTTGTGTGCAATAGTAAGACACAAACACACTTATATACACACAAAGGCAAAATGAGAGAGAGGTGTAGAGATAGAATATATATAAATCCTAACCCTAGAAATCAAACCCTAAAATGGCTGTCTAAAATGTCTAACCCTAAAGCCAAGAGAGGAGGGCTCCTCTTATAGAGCTTTTTGTCTTGTAAAGCTTACAAGACAAGCTTCTAAAGAGAGAGATCCCTCCATACACGTGTATGGAGGGGAGCCAAATGCAAGACAGCTGTGTCAAAATATCTGCAAAAGCAGATGCACAGTAGTCGGCCGGCCAAAGATGCAATTGACCAAAAAAAGATAGCCGACCGGCCATCTATAGTGCCGGCCGGCCAAACATTTGGCCGGTGGCAACAAAATACAGCCGATGGCCCTAAGCCACAGCCGGTGATGGGTGGGGATGGTCTACAAGCCCTACCCTGCCTCTCAAGGGCAAAACACAAGTATTTGGTGTCAAACCAAGCACAAAACAGTCGAGTCGAGAGGTCCTGTGACGAGGCGGGCTGCCAAGGCTTCCGGGAACTCAAGACGAACACAAATATGGATAATCACCGAGTGTTCAAATGGTGAAGTCCAAGTCTTGACGACGGTCAAAAATGGGGTGTCTACACCAACCCATTGCCTCCCTATGATAGAATACCACTCTTTTTAACCTCAGCTTCATCCGTACACTACTGTCCACCTACAATCCCAGTATATATATCACTTTGTCCGTTCTACCCAAGCTTAAGGTGTTCATTCCAGAGGGCATTGACTTGTGCATGATGGTGCACCTGAACCCCAATCCTCTCAAATCCTAAAAAATAAACTCTGAAAAAATTCGTCTTGATCAATCCATCCAGATCAATCCAATTTAGATACACCAAGTGCACCAATGGCTGAACCAACTACTTCTGAGATATTAGGAATGATTGAAGATCTTTAGAGAACTGTGACAGATTTAACCTCTGGAGTTTTGGCCTCGTCATCTATCCTATGCTGGGAATCTCGCATCAAAAAGAGCCCTCTAATCTTGGGATAAGCTAAAAACGGAATGGGCCACCCCAAAGTCGAAACTGTGGTAAATGTTGATTGTGATAATAGAAGGGTAGCCCAATTGGAGATATTGTTCAAAGACATCTCGAGCCTTGGTGATACCATGTTAACAGTAAAGGGGCCTTGCCTAAATATAACCATCCAAATCCTCCACAAGGCTGAAAGAAGTAGTAAGAATGAATTTGGGGTAAGTATTAATCCTTGTGCACATCTCCAAGTTCTTACAGCTGTTGAGGAGATTGTGGATGAAACTTTTGTTTCTCAATACCTAAATGCCCAGATGGCGGTTACCGTTAGTGAATTTAGCGTGAGAAGCCAGGTTGAGGGAATTACGAATTAGGGGCCCACAAACAACAGAAGGCCAAGTCATGGAAATAGACGCCTTACCAGAAATACCCATCCTAATTCCAATCCCAAACCTATACTTAAGTGATATATCTCTTTGGATGCCAATGGATGAAGGTTATGTTGCTTGAGTTAGAATATTGTTGATTGATATGCATGTGAGCTCAGTTTTCTTTGAGTTGTACATTTATCCAAAAGATCTTTCAAAAAATGCATGAAATCAAAGAATAACCAAAATAAGTAACATAATCTATACTTGATTACTTCACATAGTAATGTTAACATTATTAGTAACCAGAACATGAGCATATATTGTTTATAAAACTCATATCATAGTTTAGTAGAGGCCGATCTTTTGATCGGGTGAGCAGGGGTGCTCAATTCATGACCTTTCCCCCATACCTAAGGTTCCGAACCAAGGCATCTTTGGTTATGACGAACAAGGGCCTTTGGCACGAGTCACGAGTTTCCTAATTTCTCCAAAAGATTAGGTGACGGCTCTAAGATCTGGTGATGTAGTCCATTTCTGGCATTTTTGGCAATAAATGGATTTTCTATAAAAGTTGTCAGATTTGAACTCTCATTTTCTGTTTTACATTCCACTAGTGCTATCAGATCAGAAATCAAGAGTCTGAACTGTTGGGTGCGCTCGGGTACCCCCGAGACATCCTACAAACTTTTCAAAATTTTCAAGCTTGCAAAACCATACAA